CGGATGCTTCCAGGCCTGCACACGGGGCTGCCATGGGCAGCATGTGACCAGCACAGCCCTCTGCCCTCTGCAGACTGCCGTGGCGTGGCAGGAAATGCTCTTGACTCCAGGTCCAGGAGCTGGCTCTGCCACTTCAGACAAGCATGGGAGGGCCCCTCAGGGGCTTCCTTTGTAAAATGGGGACAATGGTCCTTATCCAGAGGCAACCTTGGGCAAGAGCCTGGAACCCAGGAGGGATGCGCAGGTGTGAGTGAGTGTCACCCAGTAGGACATGGAATGGCCCTTCTTGCCCGGGACACTGCTCATCTCACCCTGAGAGCCCACAGCCAGGGGAGTTCACCTTGACCTGGGCACAGTGCCCGTGTGTCAAGGGAGCCAAGAAGGGCCCAGAGAGCGCTTGCCGGGCAAGAAAAGACCTAGAGGAAGCTAAGGGACAACAGCAGCGGAGGAAGAGGTGAGATCAAAGGGGCAGTTAAGGGCGGGGACTGAGGGACCTTTGCACCCTCATAGTAGGTCAGCTGTCAGTCCGAGTTTTCAGAAGACAGTTTTTTTCTCAGAGACCCTGCCTGGACACGGGCCCTCAAGGACACTCAGGCTCGGGGGTCCCATCCCCGGACCCACTGACAAGAGTCAGTCCTCCGGATTGGCTGGACGATGCCCCCCCTTCCACACCCCGGCCAGAGCCCGACACCGGCCCCCAAATCAGTGCCGGGCCCACGGGTGAAGGCGGCTCTGGATCAGCCTCAGAGAAGGGAGTGGTTCCTTCCACCTCGCAAGTTCAGACACACAAATCAAGCTCTGACAGGACGAGGCAAACGAGAGAAAGGCCAGCTCCTTTCCCCCCCTCGCTCTTGGCCTTCCCCTCGGGCTCCTTGAGGATGCACTCTCCCAGTAACTGCTGGGCTCTGGGTTCTTGCTGGGGAACCCCACAAAGGGGGCGCACAGCCTCTTCCAGAGCCTGTCAGCCTTGCCAGAGAAGAGCAGAGCCACCAGCTCCTCTCTCCCGGCCTCGACGCGGCAGAGCGAAGCCGCGTCCTAGGGCCTCTGGGTCCCTGATGGACCCACGGAGACAAAAGGAGGGGGTCAGGCCTCTCTCTGCAGGAGGTGGCGTCTTTGAGGCTGCCACCTTCACCCTGCTTTTGACAGGCGCTGGGGAAAAGACAAAAAGCGGGGAAATTCAACCCCAGCCCATGCCGGCCAAAGCTGCTTATCACCGGTGGCGCGGCAGCGGCCCTGGGAGGAGGGTGTCCCTGGAGTGGGGATGGGCAGGCTGCAGTCTCTGAGTTCCACGTCCAGGGGGCCACCTCCAGGGGAGGAGGATGGTGTCTGGGACAAGAGCCTCCCCTCCGACACCGGCTTTACCCTGGGCTGGGCCAGGTCAGCGGGCAGACTTCCTTTACCTGTTTTCTCTACATTCATGGTGCCACCAGCTTCTTGGGCCTCCCGGCCCCGCCTGGGGGCCGGCGCCTGCCTCTTCAGGAGTTTCTCTTCTTTCGCCCCCTGACTCTTGCTCTCGCACCCCTTGTCCCGCAGGGCCTGCTGCCAAGACACAACCAGAATCCTCACGTGAAGGGGGGGCGGGGACTGTGGCGGGGAGGGGACCCCCCCCTTGAGCCTGAGGACGGTGCGCTCCCGGAGCTGGTGAGGACCTCAGACCCGGCCAGCCCATCCCTCATGCTGTGGGTGGTGTCAATGAGGCCCGGAGTCTGGAAGAAAACATGCCCAGATCTCACAGCGAGCGGGGGGTAGTGCGTTCTCCTGGCCCCCATCAGCAGCCAGCCCTCTGTACCAGCAAACAAGGTTCCTGGGTACTTAGAAACCCTCAGGTGAAGCTCACTCAGCTGACCTGTGAGCCCCGAGTCACCACTACAGTGGTCTGATCGCTTCAGGTGCACCGTCCCAACACCCACAGGCTTGTCCAGCCCCACAGGCACACGGCAGTCTCAGGGCAATGCCCGCTGCTCCCCGCCATGATGTCAGCTGCCCTCACCTTCAGACGGCACCAGCCTGGGACTGCCAAGGAGGGGGCACGCGGGTCCATATGGGCAGGGAAAGGCCGTGGCCCAACCCCCGGCATGGCTATCCGGGACCGCAGGACCCTGTCTCTAGGTCAAGGAGGAACCCAGGCAAAGAAGGCTGAGGTAGAACAGACCAGTGAACTGGTGGGAGACGGAGGGGAGAGGCAGAAAGAGTCTTTCACGCAGAGAAAACCACCTGCAACTCACACAGAAAGACGTCCGAGGCAAGCAGCAGAGCCACACGTAAAGTGCGATTCCATTTAAGGATAATGGAAATAAAAGAGGCCTCCAAAAAAAAAATCTGGGGAAATATACACTGGTTTCCTCTGAGAGGTCGGATGATGGTGCAGGGGCTAAGAGGAGAAATATGCAGCATTTAAACTTTGGGGGAAAATCAAAAGAAACTTAACCGAGAGAGAGTGGGAAGAAAGGAAAGCCTTCACATTTCATTTTGAATCTTTTTGGCATTTGCATCTTTAACCTTGTAAGCATCTATGGTGTTCTGCTTTGTTATCTTTGATAACAGAAGTTATCTGGCAAGGCAGATTACAGACACTTTTGGGCGTGTCTTTGTGCCCACCTTATTCAAAACAAAAAGACAAATGCTATGTTGAAAAAATGTTCAGAGCCTGGGGTCAGAAAGGCCTGGGTGTGAAGCCTGGCTCAGGTGAGCTGTGTGACTGTGGGCAAGTTACTTACCTTCCCTGGAGTTTCATTTCCTCATTCTTAAAACAGCAACTCTACTTTCTGCTTGAGAAGGGAGGGTGGTGAGCAGTCTCTCGTATTTAGGAAAATTCCCGCGACTTAATTTTGTCCCCACCCTGTGACCAACTGCCACACCAGCACGAGCAGCCTTGTCACTGGTGGCGGCAACGGAGGCAGCTGGAAGTTTCCATTTGCCGCCCAGAGCAAAGGTTACACTATTTCTGGCCTGTTGGCCAAGCCACAGGATGGGCAGACAGGCCCCCGGGGGGTTGGGAATTTCTGCAGCCTCCGAAGGGAGCGACTCAGGTTGTAACTGCTTGAGAAGCTGGCAGGGGACCCACTGGGTCCCCTCACTGTGTCTGGGTCCCTCCTTGGGCCCCACATCCGCCGCCCACCTTGAAGCCCCTGTAAACTGAATGAAGCTTCAACGGCCCAGGACACAACTGTGGAAACTGGTTGCTGGTGGGAGCTTCTTAGATCCTCAGCAGACCTGCTGACCCCAGGACTCAGCGGCAACCACAACCCAACACCCCATAATCAAAGTTCAAGAACAGAGCCTCCGCCCAACTCAAGGCTGCTGGTTTCTGACCACCTCCCGATTTAACTACCAATGGCTCAAGTCATAAAAAATGGTTTCTTTAACATAAAAACAGTTTCTTTAACTGTCCCTGCAACATGCTTTTCTCGCAGACCTTATAGATAAAAGAAGGACCATTCGGTTCCATTTTCAGATGAACCACATAAGAAGGGCTGACAAAAACCCAGAAGCCCAAGATTGTCCCTGAAGCAACAAACAAGGGGTCCATGTTCAGACCCGGCTTGGGGCCACACGAGGGAGGACAAACACAAAGGGCACATATTTCCCACAGCCCCTCCTGCCCTCCATCTGCATGTGTCCCTTCAAGGTGGCCCCCTCATGCACAATCTTTCTTGTGGGGAGGGGCCTTGGCAACACCCCCAGATAACTCTGGTCCTTCATCCTCGGCCACTATGTCAATGTTTGCGCATACATTTGTGATCATCTGATTACTCCTGGCCTCTCTGCTAGACTGCTGGGTCTATTTCTCTTCTTTGCTGTGTGCTGGCACCTAACACAGAGTAGGCACTTCATAAATATCTGTTAACAAATGCATCCATTTAAAAATTACAGAGCCTGTGCTATCCTGAAATTGCTCAAGCTACAGCTGCATGAATAGGTATCTGTTTAAGGATCTCTTTGCAATCAGAAACAATAGAGAGGATCAGTTAGATAAACCTTGAAGCAGAATATTATGCAGCAGTTTAAAAGAATGAGATAGTTCTCTATATATTGACAGAGGCGTGAAGAAATAACCAAGGCTTACTGTCGAGGGAAAGATCTAGTCACACAACAGAAGGTAAAAATAAAGAATAAAAATTGTATAAATCCAACGAAGCGGTTGTACAGGAAAGATAAACACCAAACTCTTAACAGTGGATTTCTCAAAGATACAGGATGACAGGAGACGTTCAATTTCTAGATATTAGATTCCTGCCACGTGTGAATTCTTTACACCATGTGTTATAAAGCTCATCATGTTCAGATCCCAACTTGCTGTGTGACCACTAGCAAGTTACTTGACTTCTCTGAGCCTCCCTTACTTCATCCATAAAACTCATATAAAACAGTAACCGTGTCTTGGACTGATGTGAGACATACAATACATGCCACAAAGCCTGGTACAAAGTCAGTGTTCAATGAAGAGTAGCTATTATTATTGCTATCATGATGTATTAATTCTACAACCAAATACTACACACATTTATGTAAAGTTTGTCTTTTGAAAGTCACATGATAACTGACTTGCAGTGATAACTGCAAGAGAAAAGAACCCAAGTTTTGGCAAAGTCCTGTCTAGCTTTAGGTTCTCACTTTAAACGAGGAAATGTAAATAAGTATTGCCCCATGGACTCATATGCCCCAGTGGGAATAAACAGCTCCCCTAAAAACCTGCCCATCTTCCTAACAGCTCCTCACTGAAGACCCCACAGTTCCCACTTTAACACTTCAGCCAGGGCATGGCTGAAAAGCTGTCGTCTCCTGTGAGATTTCCCCCAAGCTAACCTAATAAGCAAATTGCCCCATTCAGGCAGGCTCAGGGTGGATGTGCCATGAGGAGCTTGGCAAGAGGCAGAAGGCAGGCCCCCAGCTCTCCCTCCCTGCTTCCCTCCCCGGAGAAGGAAGCTGTTGGAGCTCAGAGGGCCACGGCACACTGGCCCAGCTCGAGCCCTGGCATTTCTGACCGCCCCAGGGCTCACCTGCAGGGTCAGGTAGAGCCTGTGAGGGCTCCCGGGGCTCGCCCAGTCCACGCTGAGGGCTCGGCACTGAGCCAGGGCCGGGCGAGCTGCACTTCGGGTGCTGGAGTCCTCGTCGCCGCCAGCCGGGCTGTCTCTTCCACGCCCTGTCCCAGGACAGAGGAGACAGGTGAGATGCTTGACGCTGGCTGGAGACTGCTGGCCGGGGACCACTGGCCGGGGCCGCGGCTGAGCTCCCCTTTCACACACTCCAGGCAGCCCAGGTGCTGCCAGGAGGGACTCACACGCCCTCACATGCCTGCCCTACACAGAAGGAAGGCCTGGCACTCGGCGGGGGCTGCACTCCTTCCTAACCACAAGCCGCCCTGGGATCCTCTGCGGGAAGTCACCCAAGACCCCGCGGGAGGTGGCGGGCTCCCCTCCCTCCACGGTGGCGTTAGGGCTGGCACCTGCCCATGAACACCCTCTACAGACAGCAGCAGAAGGAAGCTGATGCCACCCTGGCTGCGCTAATCTTCACAGGAGCTGCACCCTGGGGCCGCGGCCTCATTACCGAGGCTGCCTCTAGGTGGCAATTTCTCCCCTGCCTTCATAAAGACCAACCCCACGCTGGGTGGCGTGGTCCCTGCAGCCTCCAAAAACACACTCAGTACCAGTTAAGGCACATCCTCTCGAGCCTCTGACACACCGCCTCCCTCACTGGGTGGGGGGAGAGGGCTGCAGCAGTGACACCCCATTCACCCCTCCCTTGACCCACCGCCACAGCCTGTGGGACCAGACGGGGCGGGAGAGGGGATTCGCCTCACTGGGCAAGCCGCAGAGCTCCCACCCTGGGGGGCAATCACATCCTGAATGCCAGCACTGGGCCAAGTGCTTTCCAGGCCTTATTGCCCTTCTTGATCCTCAGTTTCCTTCTCAATACAATGGGCATAAGGAACCAAGCTCAGTCCTGTGATGAGGATTAAACGGGGCGACACATGTAAAGTGCTCACACAGAAGGTAGCCAGCAATGCAGGCCATCAGCTCCTCACAACAATGCTGAGGTAGGAACTGGAGACCCAGAAGGGTTAATAATGTGCCCAGGGTCACCCAGAGCCAGTATTCCAGTCCCATGTGCTACCCCACCCTCTGCTTGCCTACCCTTCTCAAGGCAGCAATAAGAGGGGGGTGGGGGTAGAGAGGCCCAGGGACGTCCACACTGGCTGAGGCTCTACCCAGTGGCATGCACCACGCTTAGCATTTCACACACACGATTTCACTGGACCTTTGTCTTAAGTTTTAAAAGTAGATAAAAGTCTGTATGGTCATATAATCCTCATAATACTAATTTAAGAGACCAACACACACACACACACATAAGACTAGAAGGAACTATATAAAATGTTTAGTGACAGGCTTATAGGTGATTCTTATTTTCCTTCTTATACTTTTCTGTGTTTTTGTTTTGTTTTTGTTTTTTAGTTTTCCAAGAGAACATGTTTTTGTTTTTTTTCAATTCTTGCTTTCTTTCTTTTTTTTTTCTTTTTCTTTCTTTTTTTTTTTTAAACCAGAAAAGCAATACTGTTCATTCATCTTTAATCCTTTGGACAACCTTGTTGGGTAGAGACCGTCTTCAGCCCCTTCCAGACAACTGGGGCTACCTGATCCAAAAGCCCAACCTTTCCCCGGCGGCCTCCAGGGTCACCCCCAGCCTCACTGTCCCCTGCAGAGAGACTTTGGAGGGCAGCACTCTGGCTGCTACCTATGGCACAAGTATGATGAGAGAGAGGGAACTGGAGTTTGCTATGTGCCCTCTCTGGGCCTCAGTTTTCCCTTCTGTACATAGAGGGGGGCTTGGACCCGATGTCCTGGAGGGGCTCTGCCAGCTCAGACAGGCTGGCAATCTACAGCCCTCTCCCCGTAGGTCAGAAGCAGTCAGACAGCAAACCCCTGAAGGCATCTTGTCTGAAGATTCCCCCCCCCACCGTCCCCACATTTACAGGACAACCTACCCAAGCCAAGGCTGGCAGATAGTCACGGGGCAGCTCCCTGGTCCTGACAATCTAGCTCCCACCGGGAATCAGAGAAGCTGCCCACTTCTTGACGCTGGAGGCACCAGGGGACATGACCCAGAAAGGAGAGCTGCTGTTGACAGCTCCCCCAGGGGCACAGCGGGGGCCCAGACTCGGGGACTCCCTCACTGCCCACCTGCTGTCGGGGCCACCTTGGATGGCACCTAAAAGGAGCGCATGGCACCCACTCCCTGCCAGGCCACGCTCCGGAGCAGCCTCCGTCCACTCCTCGCCATCCGCGGGCGAGCCCTGGCGGAATCAAGTGTCAGATCCGCGCAGGGCACCGGGCAGCTGTTCACCTACCTTGTTTACCGGCCGCGGGCAGAAACCGGAGCGAGACCACGAGCGCTCCGCCGCCAAGGACAGGCGGATCGCAGAGCCACAGCCACCTGGCCGGACCAGGGAGCAGCGCGTGGCTGTCCGCGGCGTTCTCCCCCTGCGCTACAGACTGCGTTAACGTTTAACTCGGCGTCCCCGGCTTCTCTTTACAGACCGGCGCGGGGCAGGAGCGCCCAGCGAAATTGACGCCCTGACTCCACGCCCGGCTCGCGGGCTGCCGGTACCCTGTAATTACCTGACAGCTCTGACTGAGCCTAGGAACTTGCCAGAAACCCCGATCTCATCGCTGGTATCTGGAGGAAGGAAAGGAAATAAAGAGGCATTTTAAAAATGCGGACTCACCAGTTCTCAACCTCCCCGGGCCGGTGTGTGGGAAAGGGCGGGCGGCCGGGCTGGCTGGGGCGGGGCGAGCCATCCCCGGCTCGGGCTCCCCGGCCCGGCCCCCTCGCCACAGGCCGCGCAGCGAGGGCGTGGCTCCCAGGTTCCACGTCCTGCGAGACGGGACCATGGCCCGGCGGGGCTCAGCAGCCTCCTCCGGGCGTCGGGCAGCCTGAGGAGAGAGCAAGAAAGCGAGATTGAAGCCCGCTAGCCGGCACCCTCCGCCCCCATCCCAAGCTGATCGGAGCCCACCATCTGGAAGGGTCTGCTGAACTGGGTCACCTGTAAACCAGAGCCCCAACTCGAATGTCCCCCAAGGAGCCCCTGGGCTCACGGGCTGAAACAGAGCCTATCACCATTTCAGGGTACTAGTTAAGGAGAAGGGAGGCTCAGAAGTGGGCAGGGAGCCCATCAGGTGTGTCTGCAGCGCAATGTGGAGACCCCACATCTCAGCCCCTCCACTCGGAGCCTGGCAGCATAAAGACAGGTCACAGCCCCACACGGAGGAAGCACCAGTCAACAGTGTCTCCATGAATCTATTCAGAAGGGGCCTTGACTGTGGCTGTGACGTCAGGCTTACATATAGCAAATTCTCTTAAAATCAGCTCATTCTTGTATTCAACTAGCCTTCACACTGTACCTACAACTGGCAGACACCGAGCTAGGATTTGAAATACAAAGATTCATTCATTCCTCATTTAATAATTATTTACCCAGTACCTGCTCTGTGCCAGGCACCTGCCAGGGGTCCTCTTTGATCAGGAGAGACATGGCCTCAAAGCTCCCTGTCAGGAGGGAGGTAAACACTTCAACAAACCTCCACAATCAGAACAGGATGCAGGGAGGCACCAGGTGGTATGGAGAATGGGGGTGGGTGTGGGGAACGCTGGTCTGGGTAGAAAGCCCCATGGGGCCCTTATGAACAGAGCAAATGAACAGAACAGACTTCTTTTACTGCACAAGTCTTTATTGAGTACCTATTGTGTGCAAAGCAGCTCTGAGGGCATTTAAGGTGACACCAAGCTGTGGTCCCGGACTCAGACAACAAGTAATGCCATTTACAGAAGAAGCCAAGTCAGCTCAAGGGGGCAATGTGGAGTTTGCTTTTGGTTTTAAAATGGAGTTGGAGGCACCCAAGGACTTCCTAATGGTGCCACCTGGGCTGTAGGCCACTTTCCCTAACCCTCACTGCACTGACCGCTCTCTAGCAGGCAATAAAGATATCTGTTTGAACAGCGTCCATCTCCCCTGACCCTCTATGGCTTCCCAGGGCGGGTCCCACAGCACCCAGCCTAGAGCGAAGCTACATCCACACCAAACACCTGGTGATGGCTTTTGGGTGAATGCCCGGAAATGAATGCACACAAAAGCTCAGACTTAAGCTTGGAAGAGAGCAGGGCTGGAGATGGAGACACAGAACCAGGAGGCTGACGGGGGTCACTGTGGCACAGGTGAGAATGCAATCACCAAAGGTGGTGCAAGATGAGAGGCAACCAAGAAGGATGGAGCTCACTCCAAGTGGGAAGAAAAGCTGGAGAAGGAAGGTCAGAGGTGGCAGGAGCACCAGGCAGGTGCAGAGTCCTCCGAGGTGACCGGAGAGTGAGTGGGAAGGAGAGGATGGTCAGTTCCCAGGGAACCATGCCACGGAGAGGTCAAACTGGAAGAAAGGTCAGTGGAGCAGGGCAGAGGGCAGATGTGGGAAGGCCCAAGGGGGATGGGGGCTAGAGGAAGCTGCCACTTCCTTCACTTTGGAGAAGCTGGCTAGGATGGGAAGGAGGATGTGGTATTTAGCATAGGAGAGATTTGCACATGCTGGGTCAACAGAGGGACAGGAATGACTGAAGCATCGAGAGGCAAGAGAAGAGTGCAAGGATGGGTGGCCTGAGCATCTGATGACCGATGTTCGCAGAGCTGAGCCCTGGAAGAATGCCAGGCTCCTGACTAGGATGTCATGGTCGCTGCCTTCCTGGACTAAGGAAGACAACTTGGAGGAGGAAGGAGGCTCCTGGGTGCAGTCTTCCTGGGAGGGTGCAGGACTGCTGGCCAAAGGGCGGGGTGGAGGCTAATCCAATATGTGGGCAGCTCTGCTGAGGAAATGGAGATGGAGCAGTGTGGAATGGAAGGAACCAGGAGAAACCAGATGTCCCCTTCTCCAGGCTGCTCGGCACGGAGCTGGGCGCACAAGCAACCCTGAGGCTCAGCCGCCCAAGAGATGAGGAGGGAGTGAGACAGGCTCCACCTGCATGCCAAGCCACTGGGAAGGTGAGATGGCGGAGGACACTGAAGGTCGATGTCACAGTTGAGGGAGAAGACTTTTAAAGGGGATCAACTAAGTCTGAGGGGGGCAGGGACAGAAGGAGACAATATTTCGTTGGAAGGAAGGGAAGTTGGGAGGCAGTCAGGAAGATATCAGGAAGAAAGAGGAAGGGTGTGCGCAAGATCCTGAAAAGGAAAAAGCAGCTGAATTTAGCAGCCTGAGGAGTGTGAAGGTCAAAAGTATCAAGGACTTTCAAACAGCCCAAGGCTGGAGACTCAAAAACCTAGGTCATGGGGCGAGGTGATGGGGGCATACGAGTAGAGTGGTTATGACCGAAAGCTGCTTCAGAACCCGGCTGTGCCACTTACTAGATGTGTGACCCTGGGAGAATTACTTTGTCTCTGTGCCTCAGTATCTCCATCTGTGAAATGGGCAGAACTCTACCTTATAGGGTTGGTGTAAAGTTTAGACAATACATATATACAATGTTCAGAACAATACTGGCATATACAAAGAATACCCAAATTTTATTTTTTCAGTGTCCTGTAACCAGTGGTGGGTGGATGCAGAGGGCTGGCTGCAGGAGAGCCAGCACCTGCCTCTCTGGGTTTAGGCCAGGGTGGTAGAGCTACAGACCCCTTGCCCCAGACCAGGGATATTGCAATGACTGGGGGACACACTTGACAACTGCCCAGAGACTGCTGCCCAGGAGGCTTGGTCTCCCTGGGAGAGCGGGCAGAACGTCAAGGAGGTTGAACAGGGGCTGGACCTCCCCTCTGCACAGTCACACGTCCTGGGTTTTGCAGGTCAACCCAGATTTCAAAATCTCTGCTCCCCGGTGTCCATAAGGACAGCAGAACTCATGACCCTGTGTCCCTAAAATCCAGTCACTGCAAATACAGGGCCCCATTCTGAGACTGCATTCCTTGCAAATGACTCTCTGGCCAAGGAGAGGGTTACTTTTATCAAGGGCATGGGGAACAGCCTGGGCCAGCATACATACTCACTCAGCCTCAGGCAGACAGAAAGCCAGAGAAGATGAAAGGCCAGGGGTGGCCACGACCCCAAACCTTGAGACAGATGTGTGTATTGGGGGCGGGTTGGGGTGTCGGAGGTGCAAATGGTACCAATTTATATGCAGCTTCCTCTTTAAAATCTGCCAGGACCAGGCCCTTCACTGCGCCAGAGTTCTGCTCTAACTCACAACAGGGGGTTGAAGGAGGTGGCTTCTGGCTCGCCCTTCCTGCTGGGCCCGCTCCCCCCACCCCGGCCCCCCCGGGCCCCCCCTCCGCCAACCGCCCCAGGCTACCGCTGTCAAAGGCTCAATTTCGCCCACTGCCCAGGACGGCACCGGCCCAGGCCCTCCTTCCTAACCTGGGGCTGGCCCACCCCATCCCGGCCCTGCGAAGGGGAAAGTGAACTGCCCAGGGGACCGACGGGGTGGCAGGGCCCGAAACTGCAGCCTCCAGGGGAGCCCTGCGGACGCAGGGACCTCTGCCAGGGGAGGGGGCGGCGCTGACGGGCACGCGGTTCCCCGACAGTGTCGGGCTTTCCCGGGCCACTGAAATCGGAAAGGGGGTCCCGAGGCTGCTTGGATTCCAGGGGACATGCCGCCCCAATGCCCTGCTCGGCTCAGGCTGGACGGCGCAGGGGGGTGGGGGGCGGGATAGCGCAGGGCCGGGTCTCCGGGGCCCGGTCCTCCCTGCACCCCCCCAACGGGGCCAGGCAGGGGGATCCAGGACGCGGCACCCCGAACGACAGGCCGGGCGGAACCCGAGCGCCCAGCCCGTCCTCAGCCCGCCCGAGCCCCGGACTCACCGGCCTGGTGGAGGTAGGATCCCTGCGTCGCCGCAGCGCCCGGGGCTCGGCCCGGCCCTCCAGCGGGAGGCAGCTCCACGCCGCCGCCTCCTCGGCCCGCCCCGCTCCCGCCCCTCTCTGGCCCCTCCCGCACACTTTCCACAGGAAATGATTAACTCCGGGCCCCGCGGCGCGTTCCCATAGCAACCGGCTCAGACCCAGGTGGGGGGTGGTGGCGCGCGCGCGCGCGCACGCACAAACTCACACTCGTACGTGGGGCCGCCCACTCTGCTCAGACCTTCCCGTTGAGTGTCCCCACGCCCCGCAGACGCCCGTGCACACGTGCGCTCTCACCCCTGGCGCACACGCACCTTCTATGTGCTCACATACATACACAGTATACGTGGCTCTCACGTATGTTTGCACACATGCTCTAGTGAGTCCACATGAACACATTCACAGTTCTCACACACATCCCCGCGCTTTTGCACTTAAACTTACACTTTCGTTCTCACCCCCTCAAACCCTAGTACTACAAAACTTTCGCACACAGTAGTTACTACTCACAGGCATACTTACAAGTGCTCCCTGGCTACCCTTCACACACTCTCACAACCTCTAGTACACGTCTTCTTGACCTTCTAGCGTGCACACTACACACACGCTCTTACACAATCTAGCTGGTACGTGTGCACACTTGCACATTCTCACTTTCCACGTGCACTCACATTCCTGTACGGTGCTCAGACTTAACCCCATGCTTTCCCACAAATGCTGCACATGCGCCTGAGTACACACATCCACTTTCACACGCTCACACACATTCTCACACGCTCTCTGACTCTTTGTCACACTACAGCCTATACATGCTTTAAAACCCCAGCACACGCTTCCACACACGCTCTAGTTAGTGCACACAGGCATGCACTGTCACACATTAGCACACGGGTTTTCACACACATTTCTCACTAGCTCTATGAGGAATACACAGGCCAGGTTGCCTGCCCAGCCAGGACACCACCTGCTGCCCCCTGCTCCTCAGCCACCCTATTCCCCTCTCGCACCCCCTCAATAGATAAACGTCTTGCAGAGCAGGGAAGCTGTTTGGGATTTTTTAAGGTCAAATATTCCTTTGCATTCCAGTGAAAACACGTTCAGAATGCAGCCGCTCCAGAGCAGGCAGAAGCTCCTGGTGTAGCCACAGATGGCCCTCCTCATAGGATGCCCCAGAAGAAGCCTGGGGAGGCCAGGCAGCCGGCCGGCCAAGGAGAGCCAGCTGACCCGGAGGAGCCACTCTGTTCTTTGTCTCCCAAACAGAGGCGGCATTTCACTCCAGTGTCAGCAGCAATATTCCCCCTCCAGGGTGTGGAAGGAGGAGAGAGAAAAGAAACTCAGAAGCCAGCCCAGTGCAGGCTGATGGTCCCGCAGACAATCCCGGGAGGGGGGCGCTCTGCCTCTTCCTGTTTAACAGGGGACGACAGCCCGATGGCCTGGGAGGAGCGAGGAGGGGACTGGAGGGGGGCGTGCAGCTCCAGGTGGTTCTGTCTCTTGCTGCTGAGCAGGCGCTGGGCTGGCTGTCAAGAATCTCAACCAGAGACAGAGCCAAGGTTCTGGGCCTCAGATTGTTCTGGATGCCAGACCAGGACACTCACAATCCCCCTACTGCAAGTGGGTTCGTGTGTGTTTTATTTTCTGAGATGTCCCAGTGCGGGCCCAATAGAGGGTGCCTGTCACGCTTCTGGAATGGTTCCCTGGAGAGAGAGATTTCTAGCTAAGAACCCCAGATAATCCTCCCAATGGGAGAGCAGGCCATAACTTGAGAGGTACCCTCCAGACAGCACTGGTCAGGGGGACCACAAGGTTGGATGAGGGCAAATTTTCTCTAGATTTCTGACCAAGTATCTCCCTTTGTTACAGACCTAGCATTTGATTGAGGAGGGCAGTGGGGTAGGGGTGTCTGTCTTTAAAGTCCTGATATAGAACCGGAGGCCATGTCTTACTTGTGGTCTGTTCGTTGACATTAACTGCAGGTTCCTTCCAACAAAGCCTAAGCCAGATTTTTAAATTAATAATAACATTTATTGTTCTTTTTCTCTGATTACCAAAGTAATAGATGTTCATTGTAACCATAATCCCACCCACTAGAGATAAATGCTGCCAACATTTTAGTACAGTTTTTTTTCCTCTGTGCACATAATAGTGACCATTTATCCACAGCTATCACCGTGCCAGACACTACACTGAGCTCTTTAAAAACAAGATCTCATGTAACCCCGAACACCCTTTGAGGTGGGTATCGTCATATCCTCCATTTTCAGGAGGGAAAACTGAGCCTCCTAAAGTTCATTCACAAACTCAGTGTGTGGTAGCGCTGAGATATGAACCCAACAGGTGTGTGTATATATACATATACACAAACATATAGCACTACTATATGTATATAGGTGCCGGAGTTTAAGTTCAAAACACCTTGGGACTTCCCTGGTGTCGCAGTGGTTAAGAATACACCCTCCGGGCTTCCCTGGTGGCGCAGTGCTTGAGAGTCCGCCTGCCGATGCAGGAGACGCGGGTTCGTGCCCCG